TTTCGATAGAATATCCCCCTTTTTTATTTTTAGTCATTTTAAGTGCTTAGTATAAATCACCATGTCGCAGCTCTCCGAGGAGGAACCCTATTTGCAGTCGCAGAAGTATTTCGACACAGACACAGATGCAAACAATATTTTATCCTCTTCAGCTTCGTCTTTATTTCAAGAAATTGATACTTCAGAGCGATTGACAAGCGCTGATGGTAATGAAACGAGAGTGATGGCGAGATGTCCTAAATATCACCGACCTCATAAAGTAGATAATCATTCTCCTGATATTGTAGACGAGGGGGTTCATGTGGAGGGGGATTTACAATCGAATACACTGGAGCGGAGAGTGCCTTTAAACATGAAGAGGACTGAACATGTCGCGAGACCACCGGCCCCGCAGAGGCTCCCCAGTCCTGTGGTGAGTCCTTACTATCACAATGACCATAAAATCTATCCTCCCCCCGCTACATCTGGTAAGAACGTTGTTCATAGCAATACTGTGGTCCATAGAAATCTTACGACGTCACAGCGTGATTTATTAGCCAACCGGAAGGCCTACCAGCTGCTTCAATCTCAATGTATTACACATCAGTACGGCGACATGGACCTGGACTACGATCGAGACATTCTTGCCAAGCCCGGGCAAGTGATTCTTTTTGTGACTAGCCTCACAACAGACTTCCGCGTGCGCAACCGAATTCGTATGCTAGAGACTCTACTTGAGATGAATTTTATTCCACACCATATAATTGATATAGCCGATAATGCTTCATTGAGAAAACAAGTGCGACAGATATACACAACGACCACCGGTAAAAATTCAATGCCTGCGTTACCCGTTTTGTGTGTAGATAATATCTTCGTTGGCGATGGAGAGTCAATCCAGGAGATGGTGGACGTTGGAACTTTTGATGAGAACCTGCGTGCAACCGGTTTTAAACACCCTTTCGAACACGAGCCGCATTCTGACTCACCAGAGCTGGTTGAGACGACTCCGACGGTGGTTGAACAGACTGGCCCCGAGGAATTCAGCACTGCAGTGAAGGCAGTTCAGGAGTCCAGTAGATCGTCACAATCACCTCAGCGGTCTGCATCACAAGATGTTTCGTCATCTGTGTCTCAACAACCTTCGTTGCCTGTGTTACAAGAACCTTCGTCATCCATATCGCAGCTTTTGTTGTCTTCTACACATGAACCTTTGTCAACTATGTCTCAAGAACCTTCATTATCTGCGTTTAAACAAGCTTCATTTGTATCACAAGAACCTTCGTTGCCTGCGTTGCATGAACCTCCATCATCCATATCACAACTTTCATTGCTTGCAACACACGAACCTTCGTCAGTTGTATCTCAACAACCTTTGTCAACTGAGTCTCAACAACCTTCATTACCTGTGTCTCAACAGCCTTCGTCATCTGCACCTAAACAATATTTCTTGCCTGCATCTAAAAAACCTTTGTTGTCTGCATCTAAACAACCTTTGTTGTCTGCGTCTAAACAACGTTCATTGGTTGCATCTAAACAATCTTCGTTGCCTGCGTTACATGAACCTTCGTCATCCATATCACAACTTTCGTTGTCTTCAACACACGAGCCTTCGTCAATTGTGTTTCAACAACCTTCGTTGTCTGTGTTTAAACAAGCTTCATTTGTGTCACGAGAACCTTCGTTGCCTGCATCTAAACAGCCTTCGCCAACTGCACCTAAACAATATTTGTTGTCTGCATCTAAACAACGTTCGTTGCTTTCATCTAAACAAATTTCATCTGTGTCACAAGAACCTTCGTTGCCTGCGTTGCATGAACCTCCATCATCCATATCACAGCTTTCATTGCTTGCAACACACGAACCTTCGTCAGTTGTATCTCAACAACCTTTGTCAACTGAGTCTCAACAACCTTCATTACCTGCGTTGTATGAACCTTCGTCATCCATGCCGCAACTTTCGTTGTCTTCAACACACGAACCTTCGTCAGCTGTGTCTAAACATGTTTCATTTGCGTCACAAGAACCTGCGTTACTTACGTCTCTGCCGCTTCAATCGTTCTCTCCAGAGGCTTCCTTAGTTTCTCATGAGACCTTTTCAAAAAGTTCTGACCATTCTCAAAGGCACCAAAACTCCAATTTTTTTTCAACCGGCATGGGTGAGGACTCCCCCCTTAGAAATCCCGATTGTCAACGTGTTCAGTCAACAGTCAGCACTGTGCCCCGAGTTCAAAGTATAAAGATCACGGGAGGTCTTCCGAAGGATGGGTGTTTTGATGCTTCGATGTCCAACTCCTTGAGCACCCTTAACTCTCGAACAACGGAGATAGTGATTGAGTCCATTTTGAAGACTACAAGCAGCTTCCGTCGTCCAAAGCTGAAACCACAACAGTTGACTTCTTTCCGGAATAACGATTTAGATGCGCCACCAGATGATGTTTACGAGTTATTAGGGAGTGGTTCTTTACCCTCAATGAACGATCACTCCACGGCGGGAACGGGAGAGGGGGGATTGAAGCTGACCAATTTAATTCCCAACGGTTCCTCAGAGAAGCCACCCTCTGAGGAGGTGACGCGAGAACGTGAGGTGACCTTTCTGGAACCTATATGCCCTCTGGGCACCGACACTTCCGACAAATCACAACAGAACTCCATCTGGAAAAAAATGGTTGATAAACTGTCTAAACTTTTCTGAGTCATGGCTCAAGTACATATAAATCGTTATGGGAACTAAATTGATCAGCACTGTTCCCATTTCACGATGCGAGTTTCTGTGCCGTATCTGTGACTGATTTTTTTTTATTAATGTGTTTTGTTTTAACCACGCTGCAGGCTCTTCCCCTCCCTTCTCCTCCCCTCCCCACCTCTCTTCTAAAGGTCAATTTTTTTCGATTCCATTTTTATTTACTATACCCATCAAAACAATTTTTTTCTCATTAGATTCTGTATTGTGATGCATTTAGTATCGTAAAATATACAAGCGTTTGGATTTATTTTATCTCTACTATTTTTTAGGCTGTGTCATAGGGCGAAAATACCATGAATTTTAAATTTTTTATATGGATGATTAGCAATTTTGCTTCAAGAGTACTTTTGCATTTAGTGTGTTTCATAGGAGTTTAGGAACCTTAGTATGCGCTTTATTTTTTTTGTGCTTAATTTTCACATGTGCATTTGTATATTTAGAGGTGCCATTCAAATTACATAGAGAGGAAGCACATGTCGGAATTAAACTCTGAGCAAAAGCTTTGGCCGACGTGCTTCGTACATATAATAAATACGTGTATATATCACAAAACATTGATGATTATGGATTTAATTTTTGAAATCCTGGAAACTAAAACATGACAATTGGTAAGAATACAAATTTCATAGCGGATTATTTTTATCTTGATTCATTTTTAATTTACGTGTCCTTTGAATTTTTACCTTTTTTTTCTTATCACAGTGTATTACGTATTTAATTTTTTTAATTACTATTATCAAAGGGCTTATGCATAAAATTTATGTACCTATAGAATTCATTATCACTATTAATAACTTTTACTATTTACTTATTCATATTTCCTTTAAAAGGAAGTCTAAGAATAAGATACAGTGAATCTTTTTTTTATTCATTTATTTAAGGGAAAGGGGGGTGTAGTAACGGATAACCTGACTGCACACGTGATGAAATAAAGGTTTACACAATATATATGTAAATATATAAAGAAAACAATCCTTTCAGTGGTTAACTCCTTTTGTATTCGATCTTTGTATTAAAATATTGCTTTTTAATCTAAGTGAAGATATAAACAATCTGAAAGCGTTGCAGAAAATTAGATTCGGATGGAGTTAAGAATTCATTAAAGTATTTCTGGTAGGTTCTCAGATTATGCATTTGGTGATTCAAAATCAGCGGATGTGCTTTCTTAAAAAGAAGGATAACAATATAAATGGAAATCCAGTGAAAAGGCTGTAGGTTGTTTCCACGATTTAATACAGGAGTTGTGTGTGATCCGTGTTCTGAGATAGTAATCTTATTCCCATGTTGCTCCCTTCCCTCATCATTGTTTTTCCTTTTGTAGAATTACTTTTATCACTTAAACATTCGTTTTTCTCAAGGAGTAGACTTGTGAACTTTCACACTCTTACCCATTTTGTCAGGACTATTTCACGAGACATATAAGCAGGCATTTGAATCGGAAAAGACACTCTATTTCACACACATATATATATAACTGTGATAATACCAAAAAGAGAAGTTGATAGATCACCATGTCGAATCAGTTGGACCAGCTCAAGAATTTCACTACGGTTTCTGCCGATACCGCGGACTTCAGCTTAATGAAGGAGCTTCAACCTGAGGACGCTACGACGAATCCTTCACTTATTTCGATTGCCTCCCAGCTCCCCTCATATGCGCATTTTATGGACGAGGCGATCGCCTTCGCGAAGGCTCACCACGAAGCCTATTCGAATGACTTGGCGGGCTCTAACGAAGACCTTATATTGGAACTGGCGTTCTCTAAACTTACGGTGATGTTTGGGGTTGAGATATTGAAGATTATACCTGGACGGGTGAGCGCGGAGATCGACCCCAAGTGCTCTTTTGATACGGAAATGATGATCCAGAAGGGGAAACTGCTGATTCGTTTATTCGAAGACGCCTCTATACCACGTAACCGCGTCTATGTGAAGATCCCCGCGACCTGGGAGGGAATTCGCGCCGCTGAGGCACTTGAGGGGCTCGGCATCAACTGCAATCTTACACTGATCTTCTCGTTCGCACAGGCGGTGGCGTGTGCGCAGGCGGGCGTTTCTCTGATTTCCCCTTTCGTCGGGCGCATCTTGGATTGGCATACAAAGAATTACCCTGAGAAGGTCGGGCAATTTGTCGGCGCCGAGGACCCTGGTGTGGTGTCGGTGCGGAATATTTACGACTACTATAAGCAGTATGGTTACTCTACCATCGTGATGGGGGCCTCCTTCCGGAATGAAGGCGAAATCCTGGAGCTTGCGGGGTGTGATAAGCTCACGATATCCACCAACTTGTTGAAGAAGCTGACCCTTTCGAATGAGCCGGTGCCGCGGAAGCTTGACCCTTCTTGTCCGCACACAAAGATGGAGAAGATGTCGGAACTTACAAAGGCATGCTTCTTGTACTTACACAATGAGGATGCTATGGCTGTGGAGAAGCTTGCCGAGGGAATTCGAAACTTTGCCAAGGATACTGAGAAGGTATATGATTTCATGCGCAAGAAATTGAATGGGGCCTAGGGAGGGTGGCTCAACTTGGTGATTCTCACCCGTAGAGGGTGAATAGGCAAATTTAAATACATATACTTATATATATATATATATACATATATTTAATATCGAAAGCACGAATTAATTGTTCATGTGGGGAAATCTAAATTCATTTGTGAAGATGTGTAAGTTTCAATCGTAAGATTTTTTGTATTCCAAAATGACTCTGCGTGTAGTGATTTTGAAATTAATGTCCAAATCATGTGGAGGTTAAAATTATATACTGTTATTGAGCCGTTTGTTGGAGTGAACAGGCATGGGCGACTTTATATAGAAACAGCAAAGTTACAGATCTGATAACCAAAATCTGAACAGTAAAGGAAAAATCGGAAATATATGAAACAATTCCATTAATTCTTTTAGGTGCTCCACAACACTAATTTTATTATTTTCATTATTATAATTTCGAAGTTTAATTGTTTATGAATGTGTTCCTTTTTTCTGCAAACCTTTTTCGTGTTTTACTCACGGGATTGTATTCATGCGCCTATAAACCACCTATAGTTTGGGTATGTAAATTCGCATTGTGACTTGTAGAGTTCTCCATGGGTGTGACACTGGGAGGTGTATCCCTGGTCTTTTTACCTTACGTTGTTCTAGCCCCAAGTTAGCGAAGGTCCCTGCGTGGTGTACGCGATGGAGGCTTTAAAGCTCACAAAGCGTGAGCGCCTTCCTAGCGAAATGACGCAGTAACACACCATACAAATCAAGTGGCGGCATTCATCCCTATTGACGTGGTGCCCTTTCTTACACGTGGCGGAGGTCACACAGGCGCGCTCTCGGCACCGATGAGTGGTGATCGACGTGGCCAGATGTGCAAAGACTGCCTCCCTAGCACCATCACCGGCGGCACATATCTTTTCGTTTCTATGGCGGTCTAATCCAGACAATCCAATTCACCACTGCGCTAGGCGAGTCATCTGGTCTGTTTGTGTGGAGATTAGCACCACTTTAAAAGGTCCACCGTTCGGAACAACTACGACCCTGTACCCCGATGTTTCATGTTTTTGAGTTTTATTTTGGTTTTAATCGTCTGCTATTTATTATATTTATATATATTATTAATTTTTTTTTTATTTCATAATCTTATTCACAAATTCCATATTTTTTTATTTCTATTGGAATTTTTATCCCAAACCTTTTCACAGGTCCATTGAAGGTTATTGATTATTTATTCCAGCTACGCTTTTTTAGATAATACGAATGTTTTGTGTGAGTTTGTGTCTGAGTTTACTGAGTTTTGGATGAAGTAAAAGGATACATTTTTATGTGCTCAGCTTTATTTTAATGTTTTGCATTTATATAGCATGAGTTGTGTCTATTATTGGCATCACTACGTCATTTTTTCCCTTTTTTATCATTCTACTGTTTATGAAATCGTTGTGAGTGCTTTTTTATATAATTAAGTACTCTATCTGTTATTATTGTATAAGAACTTTCCTCTCCTCACGAAAAGGGTAATAAAGGTGGGAACGATTTTGCACACTGTGCGAAAAGTGACTGCTACTACTATTACTACGAAGTGACGACACAAGTCTTTTTTTTTTCTTACCTTTAACCCCACCGTCCATGTCGCCGAGCACGTCGGGTTGTCTGATGCGCCGTTTCGCATCATCGATGCCCTTTACCTTCGCGGCGGCGTGGCCCCACCGACGGCCGTCCTCCCAGGTCGTTTCCTCCTCCTTTTCTCGTCCTTCGGTTCCTCCTCTCG